TCTCCACGCCGACGTTGACTTGGGAGGAGGAGGAGGGCCGGAGGGAGCAGGGGAGGAGGAGAAGAGGGAAAGAGGAGGCCCGTGCGACGCCTGGAAGGGGAGGCAGGGCGCGAGGGCTCCCTCCCTTCCTCCCCTCCTCGATGCCCCCACCGTCTGGAGGGACCTGGCCTCCTCCTCTCCGTGTTCCTCGTGCAGCCGTCGTGCCAGCGCGCCCTCCTCCTCCTCCTCCTGCGGTGCCCCCCCCGCTGAGAGGACAAGCTGTCGCCGTTGGCCAGGGCCTGGGACTTCGTCGCGCTGCCCCCGAAGACCGGGGGGGGGGGGCAGGGCGCGGGCAGAGAGGGGGGGGAGCTTCTCGAGAGGAGGGAGGGCAAGGGAGGAGGAGGAGGAGGCGGAGGAGGAGGAGGAGGAGGAGGAGGAGGAGGAGGAGGAGGAGGAGGGGGAATAATGACGCGGGAGGAGGAGGACTAGAGGAGGGGCGAGGATAAGGAGGAGGAGGAGGAGGAGGTGGAGGAGGAGGAGGAGTAGGAGGAGGGACTCGGGAGGAGGGAGGACCAGAAGGAGGAGGAGGAGGAGGAAGAGGAGGAGGAGGAGGAGGAGGAGGAGAAGGAGGAGGAGGAGAAGGAGGAGGAGGAGGCGGTGGTGGGAGGGGGAGGCGGTGGGGGGAGCAGGAGGGGGAGGAGGTGGGAGGAATCCGGATGGCGGAGGAGGAGGAGGAGGAGGAGGAGGAGGAGGAGGAGGAGGCGGAGGAGGAGGAGGGAGGATGGGAGGAGAAATGTGTGGAGGAGGATGCGGGAGGAGGAGGAGGCGGAGCAGAAGGGGAGGGGGAGGATTCGTCGCGGATTCACCGAGGGTGGTGAGGACAACGAGCAATGATAGAAATATTTTAGATTCGTTTCTGTTCGTTGCCCGCGTGCGATTCACCATGTATGCTCCAAAACTCTCGATTGCCGATTCGTTTTCGATCGTAACCCCCTTTGGGGGGTATATCTTCCTTGCCAGCCACTTGCAGTTGGCGCGGCTCTGAAATAGGACGAGGGGAGGAACGAATCAGGGTGACATCGAGGAAGGGAGGAGGACACGGAAATGGCGGGGGGGCAAGAGGAAGAGAGGAGGATTGAGGACGAACCCATGTCCAGCTGCCTACGGCCACCGTGCCTGGGTCTTGGGCTTTCAGCCTCTTGGATGTTCGGCGGGATATCATGGGAGGCCTCTCGGAGGCTTATTGGCAGCTTTAGGGTTTCTTGGTAGCCTTCTGGGGGCCTCTGGGGGGCATTTTTGTTGCCTCTTGGAGGCCTCTTGGGGCTTCTTGGTGGCCTCGTGGGCGCCCCTTGGGTGCCTCTTGGGGGCATCCTGGGGGCCTCTTTGGATGGCAGGCTCGGATTTTCAGTTCGTGTTCCCTGTCTTGGGCCCCTTTGTGGAGCGTATTGGGGCCTACAAAGGGGCTGTCTTGGGCGCCTCTTGGGTCTTGGGCCGTCTTGGGGCCCTCTTGGAGGCCTCTTGGGCAGTTTTGGGGTGGTCTTGGGGGCCTCATGGGCCGTCTTGGAGCGTCGGAAAGCCGAACCAGCGGAAACGCCCAAATCCTTCGAACACCCAAGGGAAATCGATGGTCTTTTCGCCTCTTGGGGCTCTTTTTGGGGGCTCTTGGCGGCCTCGTGGGGCGTCTTGGGTGTCCCTTGGGCCATCCTGAGGCCATCTGGGGGCGTCTCCGAGCGATCGTTCGGCGACCCGGGGCCCTCGTGGGCCATCCTGGGGGCATCGTGGTATGACTATAGGAATGCCGGGACGGTCGGTCCCTGCGCAGAAGGGACAGCTCGGGCGCGCGGGTTCCACGGGGCGCCGCAGATGTCCCGGCTGGTCCGGCGCCAGCGGCGCGCCACCGGAGCGGGGCAGGGAGGGCGGCCTCCCGAGGGGTGCCCAGAGAGAGAGAGAGGGGATCAAGCAGTGGCGAAGCGTCCTGGCTCGCCTACAGGCCCACCCGAGAACTTGTCTGAGAACCGTTTGTGGTCTGCGCGAGGGGTTCCTGGGACACTTCTGGCCGATACTGTTTTGTTTTCACACATTGGGATTCTGTTATAGGAACCTTGCCTCAAGTCGGGCCTGTCCCTCTACAGGGGGATTATTCAAAAATAGTCAGAAATCGTCAGGGGACTATTTTTTGATTATGTTTGTGCATTTATGGGGTATTTTGGGGTATTTTTTTGATTTTTCGCCCCAGATCCCCCTGTATAGGGGGACAGGCCCGACTTTGACCTTGCTCTTGTCCTTCCAACAGTCGTGAGTCTCGAGGGCAGGTCCTGGTGGGCCTAGCAGGGATGCCAGGACGCTCGGTCCCTGCTCCGGGGGGCAGGGCTCGGACGCGTGCATTTTTTTTCCTCGGCGAGGACCATCGAGGAGCATCCTTGATCATTTGGCGAACAAAACCACGCACGAAACCGAACAAAACACAGGAAATGGACGTCCGAGCGATGGTGAGACGGGGGGCAGGGCAGGATTGTGCTGGACCGCGGCTTCGTGCCGGAGGGGCGAGCGAAGGGGCACTTCGTCTTCGAGGGCGTGCACTTCCACTACCCAGGCCTGTGCTCCCCCCCCCTTGCCTTGAGTCGGGCATGGCCCTCTGCAGGGGGAATATTCAAACATAGTCAGCAAATAGTCTGGGGACCATTTTTGGTGTATTTTTTAGCATTGTGTTGAGATTTTTTTGACTATGTTGTATTTTTCGTCCAAAATCGGCCTGTAGGGGGACAGGCCCGGCTTGACCCTTGCCGGGAGGGTCGGGGAGTGGGGACGGACGGGATGGGTGGTGGGGGCATCCGGATCAGGAGGGGAGAGAGCACACAGAAACGAGTCATCGGCGGCTCCCAAGAAGAAAGTACGGGAAACTATGGGAAGTGGGCGGGAAGACGAAGCTCAAGAAAATGGGAGAAGATCTGGGGAATCCTGGGACTCGTGTCTGTTCATTCGTGAGTTCCAGGGCCCCTTCGTTCTTCGCTGTTTCTTAGTTCCGCGCCTATGCTTCCGAGAAATGCTAAGTCAGACCATGCACCTCCGGGCTGGCAGCGCGCGAGGCGGCGCCTCTTGGGGGCTTCTTGGGGGCCTCTCTGGGTCTTCTTGTTGGCCTCTTGGAGGCCTCTTCGGGCTTCATGGGGGCACATCGGGAGCCTATTGGAGGCGTTGGGGGTCCTCTTGGGTTGAAGGACTCGAAGGGTCAGTTCGAGGTCCCCTCTTGGGGCCGGCTTGGAGGCCTCTTGGGGTCGTTTGGGCCGTTTTGGGGCCCTCTTGGGAGCATCTGGGGCCTTGGGGCCTCCTGGACCGTCTTGGGCGCTCTTCAACAGAACAGGCGATGTGGTGAAGCATCATGCACATGCCAAGGGATTTGGCCGAGGTGGGCCTCTTGGGGCCTTCTGGGTCGTCCTCTTGGGGTCGTCTTAAAGCGTCTTGGAGGCCTCTTGGGCCGTCTTGAGGCCATCTTGGGCGTCCTGGAGCGCTCTTGGGTCGTCTCGTGCGCCTCTTGGACCTTCTTGGTGGCCTCCTGAGCCCCTTTTGGCGTGTCTTGGGGCGGTTTGGGAATTTAATGCCTCCCCCCTCTTCCTCCTACCCTGGCAATGACATTCCAACACCCTACCCATCACAGCTGAAGCTCAGGTTGTAGCTTCAGCAGGACTGAAGCCTGGTCTCAGCTTCGTTCAAACTCGCAGCTCGGATCGGCGGATTCTTGTGTTTTGGCCATCTGTCGCTCTTCGGGGGCAACAGGGGGGTTCCTGGGGAACTGCCGAGAGGGGGGACCTCTGGCGGCCTCGCGGGACCGGTGAAGTTCGAGTCACGACATCGTCCTGGGCTGCATTGCAGGATGTCCGCGCGGACTTCTCGGATCGGCGCCGGGACCCTTCCCTGCGCGCGGTGCACGTCAGGGGCGGCGCCCCTAGACATCCGCGGGGGGGAGGAGACGGAGGAGGAGGAGGAGGAGGAGGAGGAGGAGGAGGAGGAGGAGGAGGAGGAGGAGGAGGAGGAGGAGGAGGAGGAGGAGGAGGAGGGAGGAAGAGGAAGGGATGGAGGGAGGGGGGGAGGGATGGGAGGGGGGAGGGAGGGAGGGAGGGAGGAGACGTCCGCGCGGACCTCCGAGAAGGATGAAAAGGTGCAGCTTTTGTGCGCCTCTCCTCCTCCCTCAAGGGCTGCGCGTCGCCCCGCCCCCTCCTCTCTCAGGAGGGGAAACAAGCACACAGACACAATGGATCGTCGGTATCCCCAGGGAAGTATAGGAAAATAATGGGCAGTGGGGGGGAAGAGGAACGCCTGGAAACTATGGGAAATGATGGGGGATCCTGTTATCTGTGTCTATCTATTCGTGTGCCCCAGGGCCCCTCTGCTCTCGTCGCCCCTCGTCGCCCCTCTGCCAGAGGCCGCAGGAGCAAGATCCTGAGGGGCACCTCCTTCGAGGTCAAGCCCGGGCAGGCGGGCCGCGGGGCGCCGCCCCGCCGCCCGAGGGTCGGGCCGGAGGGGTCGTGCAGCGGGTTCTCTCGGCCCGAGCGTCGGCTCTCGAGGGCCGAGGGTGTCACGCTTTCAGGCGATCGCAAGCGTGGGTTTCCAGAGCGTGAATTACCTACCCCGCTTTCGCTTCCAGGCAAAACCAAGTCATACCACGCGCCTCCTCGTCAGGCGGCCTGACCAGTACAGGCCGTAGTTTGGCATCGCTTGGCATCTCTTGGAAGCGAGGGTGGTCAAAAGCGAGGCAGGTTTGTTTGCCCCCTAGATTTGGGGGGGCGTGGATTCGCGACGGGTCCCGCTTCCAGGAAATCGCACACTTCCGCCGCCGCGCGGGGCGGCGCCTGCCGCAGTTTATAGGGAGGGCACCTCCCCCGATCCATGGATCGGGGGGGATGCCCTCCCAAAACAGATGATGCTGATGATGATGATGATGATGATGATGATGATGATGATGATGATGAGGAGGAGGAGGAGGAGGAGGAGGAGGAGGAGGAGGAGGAGGAGGAGGAGGAGGAGGAGGAGGAGGAAGGGGGCCGAGCCCTGGAGCAGAACACAAACCTCGACGTTCGAGGGTCGAGGCTTCCACGCCTGTGGGCACCATGGAGGTCTGGCCTCGTCGGCTCCGCGCGCATCCCGGGTCCCCGCGCGCGGCGCTCCTCGGGAGCACGGGGGCTCCGTGCGACTGAGGCCGCTGCGCGCGTCAAGGCGCGCGCGCCCCCCCCCCTCCCCCTCCCCCTCCCCCTCCCCCGTGGAGCGATCGGGGCACATCCCCTGAGTCGATTCCTGCGCGTGGCGATTCGACGCCGGCCCCGCCGCTGGGCGGCTGCGCTCCCTCCTCTTCGCTTCTCCTGAAGGGGCCCCAGGACACACAAATAAATATACACAAATAAAATTATTCCCCATATTTTCGTATATTTTCTGGGTTTTTGTCTTCCCCCCCACTGCCCATATTTTCCCATAGTTTCTGGGGAATCGACGATTAATTGTGTCTGTGTGTTTTTTCTCCTCCTGATCTCCGTCGCGAGAGGAAGTGCCCGATGTCTTCCGCGTCCGAAGGCCGCTTCGGGCTCGGGAGCCTGCAAGTCCGGCGGCGAGCGAGGGGGGACGTGTGAAGGAGAAGGCCTTCTCAGGAGGCGGCGGGACTTCTCAGAAGCCCTTGTGCCTTCTGAGAAGTGTTCCGTGTCTTGGGGGAAGGCTCAGGAACCTTGTCAGAAGACCGGGGGACTTCTGAGCTTCTGAGAAGGCCTTCTGGTTTTCCCTTCCCCCACAGGTTCGTCGCCGCCTGGAAGCCCGCTTCGCGCTCTGGAACTTTCAGGTGTCGGCCCAGGACGTGCAATCTGCCAGGATGGACCCTGGTAAATGGATTTCGGTGGGGAGTCGGAGAGGGGCTCGGAGATCGATAGATACTCGATTGTCGGGGATGTATTTTATACGTAGCACCCCGCAGTTGCGCATAAGAGTGAAGGGGCGGCGGGGACGTCTGCAGTCTGCGAGGCTCTGAAGAAGCTCGCCGCAAGCGCAAAATTTTCTAGCTATACAACGAGCCCGCCGCAAGCGCCGATTGTTTGTTAAAACAATGTAGGTGGGTCGCAGGTGGGTCGCGGGTGGGTCGACGGTGGGTCGCGGGTGGGGCGCAGGCCAGGTCGCGGGTGAGTCGCGGGTGGGTCGCGGGTGGGCCGCGGGTGCGACGCTGGCGGGTCGCGGGGTGGGTCGTGGGTGGGTCGCGGGGTGGGCCGCGGGTGGGTCGCAGGCCGGGTCGCGGGGGGGACGACGACAAACAACAACAACAACAGCAACAACAACACCAACAACAACACCACCAACAATAACAGCAGCAGCAGCAACAACAACACCAACAACAACACCAACAACAGTAACAACAGCAACAACAACATCAACAACACCAACACCAACAGCACCAACAACAGCAGTATCATCAGCAACAACAACACCAACAACAACATCAGCAACAACACCAACAACAACACTCAACAGCAAACAACAAAAACAACAACATCAACAACACAAACACCAACACCAACACAAACACCAACAACAACACCAACCACAACCACAACCACAACCACAACCACAACCACAACCACAACCACAACCACAACCACAACAACAACACCAACAACAACAGCACCAACAACAACAACGCAACAAGCATAATCCTCACCACGGATCCGCACTTAGGCCACACACCCAGGGACAATGAACGACCGTTCGGCCCTCTCGCTCTTACAGTACGCGTGGCGCGGAGCGAGGCTTCAATTTTCCAATTTCGCTTCAAGTGGCCTTCGCAGAAGGCCTGCGTGCTACAGGCGCACCAGTGCAGGGACGCCGGGCCTCCCGGCGATGGCGGATCGTTCGTTCGTTCGTTCGATGGCCGGGGCCTTGCGTTTTCAGGCGTTGCTTTGCTGGCCTGTCGAGTCTCCGTGGGCTCCCTCGTCGCCCCGGCCGGAGCGCACCCCAGGGCTGGTCGGTGGGCCGAGTAAAAACATACACATACAACGGCGCACTGGGCCCGGGGGCAGAGGGCCAGAACTCAAGCAGCGGCGAAGCGTCCCGGCTCGCCTGTAGCCCTACCAAAGAATGCTCCAAGAACCTTGTGTGGTTCCCACGAGATGTTCTTAGAACATTTCTGGCGGAGGCTGTCTCGTTTGAGCACATCGGGTTAAATGTTCGAAGAACAGTGTTTGTCGGGTTCTCAGAACATTTCGTGGTAGGACTATGAGAATGCCAGGACTGTCGGTCCCTGCGGGAAAATATACATCTAACGGCGCACCGGGCCCCGGGGGCAGAGGGCCAGAACCTCGACCACAAGCGTGGGTGCCGGGGCCCGGGCTCGCCTCTGGGAGGCCTAACATCGCCCTGGGAAGCCCTCAGACAGCAACCCCAGCGGCCCCAGACGGTCTCGAGACACCCCCAAGACGCCGTCCACTGCAGGGGTCTCCTCCGGCGACGCACGATGCGGTTTAAACTGCCCCCGAGGCCCCCGTCCATTCCAATGGT